CTGCTGAACTAACTAATGATAGCGACATGTATATACACTATATACAAACCCATGCAAATACATGAATGACTATGTACACATATGGATTGCGTATTGATGCAAACCTACCCTTCCCATTCCTAAGCTACAAGGGCGGCAATCAGTCAGTTTTGCATCCAAAATCCCAAGGCTTGAGCAGTTTCACAAGCAAAACGGGAAACTGTTGTGACACCTTTCTCTAGCTAGATGAGCCCTGGCGCCTTGTTGCTGAACTGACTGTTGGTGAAGGTGAAGCACAAGGTCCGTGCCATGTAACAGGCTGGCATCAACTCGCGAGGCATGCCCAAGGTCGCTGCAAACCTGACCAGGACTTGACTCAACAAGTTCATAGCTCATTTGACCCATCGCAACTGATCTTCCCCATCTCCCCTTCTTGCCCCACGGCACACCAAAACGCTCATGATGGTCATATCCCGGTTCAAGCGTGCTGGTGTCAAAATCACAGCTGGATCTCCCATCCTGACGAGCAAGAACCCGCCTGTGCACACCCTGATTTGCACTTGACATACCTAGTCCTTCTCTGACAGTCGTGAAGAATTATGATCACACCTTCAAAGCCTCACGCCAAGTTCAAAGGCCTAACTCTGACCACGCTGAAAGCAGGCATGAAAGTTTGGATACATTTAGAGTTTCCAGCGCATCTTTTTGGGAGATATTATGTGCATTATGTATATGATATTGATGGGCCTCACTGTGGTCTTTGCCTGTGCGATGAAGAATAAGGTGCGCTGGCTCCACAAAGCTCAGCAGGTAGAGACGAGAGGGACGGATAGGTTCAAAGGGCACTAGGTTGGGGTGTAGCTGCTTGCTGGGAGCTTGAGTAGTGTCCAAGATTTGCTGGACTGCATCCTCAATCCGGAGTGCTTGCAAGACTTAAGGGCTAGTACAGCATGGCAAGACGGGCAAAGCCCATGTAATGGGTCGTATGTGATCAGAGTGTTTGGGGCCAGCACTTTCTTCTAGCCAACAGTTGGCCGCCAACTGCTACTTTAGGGACCAATTCCAGAACACCAAAAAGTATCTTTACAACAAATATGAGCAAAAAAAAGGTTATGGTCCCCTTAGAAGGGGCCTTGCCTTCCTTTTTCATCTGCCTTTAGCAGGCACAGCTTCTTTTCCGTATCCCTTTTCCTTTGCATTTCTCTCGCCGATCTCTGAATACCAAACGACTCAATGACGCGCTCCAACCTGCGCATCACAGTGCTTCCCAACGAGACGGTGGCATAGAAGGCCACGCTGTGAACCATTGGTGGAGTAGCACCGATCGCCTGCACGACCTGGGTGATGCAGGGCAACGCCTTAGGCCTTTGACAGTGACCAGGGCGAGTGCTTTTCGTGCGGTGCAATCAAGGAATGGGTGGCGTATCACAAAGAGTGAGAACATGTAAGAACATGACTAAGAACATACTAGACACTGAAGCCGTCAACCATCCACCAAACGCTTTGAAGTGCAAGCAAGCTGCAAAAAGCACCAGCATGAAGCAATCAAGCACCAAAGACCAAAGGCTCGCAATCCTGGGATGGATAAAAGGCTTGGGTCCTTTGCCGGGATCCACCTCAAAACCTTATCTCGGTCGTGAGCCCACACGCTTTCCCGCCCCTTTCTTCCAAAAAACCATTGGGTTTTGTCACAAGCTTTGCCACCATATTTCACACGCCACCATGTTCTTCCTGGATTCATACCCATCCTTCTGCTTTACAGAAAGTGCAGCTATCATGGCTCATCCCCATTGCCATGGTAACACGGTGTGGCTGCTGAATGCATGCAGCCAAAGGTGCTCTTGCAACGATGTGCTCCTTCGTTCGTGAACACGCTTCGCCGCTTCATCACTCACTTTTGCAACACCTCCGGTGAACTTCTGCCTGGGCTTTGCCGAAATCAAGCACGTGCATCACGCAGCATGTGACGATGCACGTTACTATGCACGTTATATGAGGTTGAGGTTGTTGATGGTTTAATTGCAAAGAAGGCCCAATACGATGAAGTGGATGTGGGGAGGGTTCCCGAACACCAACCCCCCACTCTAAGTTAATCTTTGACACCTCTACCCTTTGAAAATGGATGTCAGGTCAAGTAGTGCAAAGCCTACCTGCGATTAGAGACAATGTCTAAGAATCCAACGCCAAGGGAAGGACACCTTGAAAAACGAAAACCAAAGCCCAGAAAACCAACCGAGTAAAATAGGAACGGGGGGGCAAGACCCTGGCCCATGAACACCAAACACCAAAAACCGAATCCCAAAGCCAAATGAATTGACCCGTTGTCTGAACCAATGGATGTCAAAAGGTCAAGCACTGAACATCAACCGCAAACACAGAATCAATCCAGACTCCAAGCAAGCAAGCTCTGGCTAAGACACCCACACGTATACAAAATGTCAACTGCTACCTCACACTGCATTACCCTCTGGTCCCAATCCAGAACAGGAAAACCCAAGCCAGTCCCCTCAGTCGTTGTCCAATATGACCTGTACTCTCAAAAGTGGGCGTGCCAAACCATGTAAAAGTACAAGAACCCCTGAAATGAGAGTCGCGATTCGCAAACTGAAATGCAAAATGTGACTCCCGAAATTGAATTTACATGGGTAAGAATGAATTCCAAATCCAATGCCAGGGGGAGGATCTCTGGGGAAGGATCTGAGATCGCGCAAGCGATCACTTACAAATTTGGCGTGTAGTTCTAATAGCACCCCTTTGCTTTGAACGCGCTGTCAGTGCCAAATGTTTTCAATTCAAGTCGGAAGTTGTATTAATCGTGTTCGGCAACATCTTCGAAGTTTGTCCATTCCCCAGGAGTTCCAAAGCTTTACCTGCTGAACTACTGAGAGTGCATGGTGACTTCCTCAGTGTGACCTGCGAGCTGAAGATGTTGAGCCGTCACCCCATTGAATGATACCGCAGCATCAGAAGCTAAGCGGCATCAGTCGCATGTAGAAGCTCCATTCCTCCATGAGACTGTTGGTCATCCGCAACGTGCGTTGAGTCCATGAATGCCTTGGCACATGTGGATCAGCGCCATGAAAAACCACCCACCTACTTTGAGTCGAGTCGACGCATCGATAGCCACATGTCTTATCCCTTCAAGTGTGAACGACAAGGGTGGCAAATGGCTTCCCGACCCGGCGCAATGCATGGCAATGGCGCCGTTTTAAGTTCATGAAATCACGTCCTTTGCAGGCAAGAGAGCCCCCCCAGCTGCGTCGAGATGCAAAGCAGTCAAGCCATAGGCACAAACCATAATTTGTCCGGCGACATGTGGAGAGATCCTCGGGTAAACATGCAGGGGGAAGGCGAAAGGTTCTCGTTTGCAAACAGCCACACAAGCCACAGCAAAGACCTGCCACAGAAAAAGTCAAGAGCCCAAACTTCTTGAGTGCACCAACTGGGTGTCTTGTCAACCTTCAAAGCGGCAGGACCACACACACACACACATATATATATATATAATACATACATACATACCATATGGGTAGTCACGTCCAGCGACTGAATCCTAGGGATCCCTAAGGCATGTTTGGCCACGTTCAGAATGCTCAGAATGAGCTGTTCAGAACGAGAGTCTGAACGCCCAAATAGCCCAGCACAGTGAAGGTATCCATGGCGCTGGGCAAGTGGCAGGTATTACCTGCTAAGGATGGGAAAGACTTCAACAAGCAAAAGAAGGCACCAAAAGCGCAACAAAAGGAATTCAACAACTTTTACGGACTGTGCTCAAAGGTGCCCAACAGAAACCGTCTACTTGTTGCCTTCGCTGCACGGTTCGCACGGTTCTGCTGCTTAATCTGTTGAGCCATCGGCAGGTGCCACACCAAGCAATGCGGCCAGAAGCAAGAGGATAACGACCCACGCTTCTATATACTATATACGGTTTTCTCTTGACTTTCAGGCGCATTCTAATTTTGCCACTGCAAACCCACAAGAACCAAAAAGTGACTTTCTGTTTCCACCTGTCTCTTCTTCTTTGCAACCTTAGCCCATGATTCGATATGGGTGCACGTTTAATTTGGGAATGTGTTTAAATTGTTTTCGTTTTATTTTTTTTCAAAAACATTGGAATAGAGCAGGTTTCTTATTAGTACCTAGCTAATTACAACAATTTCGTGTCCTTAGCCGAGACACAGGTGTCGTAGCTGGCCAAATACATTGGAATAGTGCAGATTTCATATTAATTGCTAGCTGATTAGACTAATTTGGGAGCTGTCGTAGCTGGCAAAATACATTCGCATAGTGTAGGTGTCAGAGAAAGTCCTACGTTAGCAGAGAAACAGTAAAGAGAAGGAGAACCAGCACAGGAGGCATATATGATTGGTTAGAAGTTTATGCCCTGGGGAGTTCACCTTAAAATATTGATTTCGTGGCAGGCGCGGGTGTCGGAGATAAGTGCAGATTTCGTGGCGCGGGGGGGGGTTGGGGGGGGGCGCAGCACCCCCCCTCCAGCAGCACACCAGACCCAAAGGTTAGAAAGCAAACAGATGGAAAAGCAAAAACAAAAAGTGAAAGGAGAACAGCTGCCAAAGCAGAAAAGCAACAAAAGCAAAGAGCAGAAAAACAAAAACACAAAAAGCAGAAAAGCAGCAGAAGCAGAAAAGCAGCAAAAGCAGAAAAGCAACAAAAGCAGCAGAAGCAGAAAAGCAAAAGCAGAAAAGCAACACAAGCAAAAACGCAGCAGAAGCAGAAACGCAGCAAAAGCAGAATCCGAAAAAACATATCCCCAAAACATGAAAACACCCGAAAAAATGCCCCTCCATTCGATATTGACAATGTAGGACGTTGTGTTGAAGAGTATCTGGTATCTACATGTCGCAGCATCAAGAACAGTTTTGGTTCACCTGAAAGAAACCTCAGAATCTTTGATTCACCAACTATCACTGTTTAATTTATGAGTGCCCAAGACAAGAGATGCAAAAAGAACATCTCAGAATGCCTCCTCAATGAGAAGTCAAACGCTTTGGGCTATGCACTCCAAAATTGCCATGGGCAACACCATCCAGGGCAGGACCCAGAGTGGCCCCTGAGGCAAACATCACCGCGCTGTGAGGCGCAAATGTGTCGGTGTCCTTGCAGGGCAAAGGTCTGGATTGTCTGTCATTCAGGTCATTGCAAATCATCAAGGTCTTACACATCAAGTAAGGTAATGACCTGAGTTGTCTGGATTGTCAGCCAAGGTCTGGATTAACCCATCAAGTAATGTAAGGTTTCAAGTTTCAACATTACCTTCTGATGATTGTCACAACTTGTGACGAACAGTGGTAAAAGGCCAAAGACCACCAATTTAAGGGCATTCAACATTGAGCAAGTGGGTGACAAATTGTCTGCCGCCAGCCTTCTGAGCAGCCTGGCGGCATATCCGTATCCTCGGAGCTCCTGCCACACAACAAGATTTTGCTGTGCATTCTGAGACATGAATAGTCTTCCATGTGCATTGGCTACAGTGACTACTGTAAACTGATTTGATGCCACAAGTGTCGACGGAATCTGTTGTCTCCGAGCACATTGACTTATATAGTGGATCTGGGCTGCAATGGCTTCCAACTCGTCCACATGCTGTGATGCGACACCGGAGGCAGCTAGGCGTGGCAGGAGGCCATCGTTACTAGGTTGGAGGCCATCGCTACGAGGTTGACCCATCGTGATGTCCGTCTCTGCAACGACGTCATGGACATCACAGCCTTGCCATCGAGGCAAGGTGAAGCCCAAACCAGCAAATGTGCCCAACACGAGAAGGCCTTAGTCAAGGCAGCCAAAATTCATCCAAACAAGGGGGGGTCATTAAAAACTGCCGAGTCGCCAAAAAGAGATAAAACGCCATGCCGTGCCATCTGTTGCTACTTCGTCTCCAGTGATTGTGAAGTGGGGATAAGTGGAGCAGGGTGTGCATTTGCTCAAGCCAAGTTTTCTAGAGTTCTTGAAGACATTCAAACCGTGGCTGCACTCCTGAAAAAAGGTTTGCTTGAAGGTCGCTTGACATTGGATCCTGCATCCTCTCCATCCCTCCTATAGGCATGAACCAACAGAACTTTCGGAGGCTTGATTTGTAAGATGCACCAATGGCACCTTCTTTGGGTGAAAGCACTGCCTTGCTCACCAATCACTCATCCAGCGAAAAACAGCCTTTTGACGAAGAGTGTCAACTTCCCTACTTGTTCAAACATCTGCACTTGTTCTTTTTCAATCAGCAGCTGGAGCTAGGGCTGCCTTGCACGGAACCACTTCTGAGCAACCTTGGCTGGTTGGCGACCATCTGAGCGATTCTGAGTGCTGGGTGTTTGTGACTATTCCGCAGCTTTTGTAAAAACATGCTCTTCCAGGCTGCCACACCTTCTTCCCTTCTGGCCTTGTGGCCAGCACGATGAAGCGTGGCACACTCTGCGGAACATGGAAATGGGACATGTCCTCTTGAACAAACCCTTGCTGCTTAAAACTCACCAAACATGTCAGAACCGAACAAGGCATGCTTCTAATACCTGCTTCATGTGCAAGTAGACAGTAGCGTTGAAAAGAAGGGAGTTCAGCCGAGAAACTTCATGGATGGTAACAAATGCACATGAATGGCAAAGTATTGCAAAGTGAGCAACAGTAACGTAAGTGACAGTGAGGTGTGTAACAATAGCACAGTAAAAGTACCGTGTGTGACAGTGAGGGTCAGTGAGGTAAGTAACAAACGCAAAAATCAACAAAGCAATAGCAACGTAAGCCCGTGAGCACCAGTTCGGTAAGAATAGGGCCAGGGCGAAAAGTCTTTTTCAAACTTGCAGGCGGTCAAGTTTGAGGACGTCTAGCACCACACGCGTTTTTGAGAGATAAAACGTGCTACGAGCAAGGACGCTACGAACGGGGCTCCAAAGCTTGGCGGAACGGCGCCTGGTCTCGCGTCATGCGGTCTCGCTCGTGTCTTGGAACGGTCTTGGCTTGGCCGCTGTGTAGAGGTCGTGTACAAAATGCTCACGGTCAAGCTTTGAGATGTCCACATTTGAGGAAATCACAGTCCAAAATGCTCATCTTGAAGCTTTGACATCAAGGTTGCACAAAATTTAGCGTTCGAGAGATAGCCACTGCAAGCGTGCAAATTTGATGCAGGAGTAGCTTCTACGAGCTAGGGTGTAGAATTGGCCAGTTTGTAGGACACATGTTTCATGCGGAGTGCATTTGGTGGTGTTAATCACGCTTGGTGTCGTCGTTGCAGCCAGCAATTTGCCTTGTTGATGTTGCTCTGCTCGGTGGTTCCGTGCAGCCTTGTGTGGCTCCGCGCAATTGGTGAACCGAGTGCATTTGGCGTCCGAGCGGCTCGCTGGAATATCCTACTACTTGTCTTCACATTGTGTAGCCAAATTCACATACTTACATCATACTTACCATCAACCCACTATTGCCTTAGCTCTTGCTGTTTGCCTCCCTTTGAGCGGTGCAGCATTCTCACATTTTCGTCGCGCGTGGCCCTTCGGCCCTTCTACGAGGTCCGACCAAAACGAGCACAAGTCGGTAGGCCCACAATGTTGAGGTCCAAAAGCAAGGTCACATTGATTGTGACATCACCGCACTCAAACCGAGATCTGTCCTCATTCTCGGTATTCCAAGGACAAGAATTTGGAAGATGGTATCTCTCGGCGCGAAGGGTCCAAAGACAGAAGCCCTGACAAGAAGTGGACGAAGTCCAAATGTTCAGGAGGAACTCGATCTGCCAAGGGCCACTGCCGGTGTACATTCATGACCTCAGTATGTCAGCTTCCAACTTCAAGATTGGAGTTGATGAGAGAGGATCTAAGGGTTGAATAGGGTTGAAGGGCCCAGTGAACTCAAAGGACCCTGTGTGGCACGTTCAAAAAGAAAGTGTCTGCGCTGGAAATGAAATGAATTGACATTGGGTGATCCCTATCCCACCGGTTCTGAGGGAGGCTTGAATGTTGTGGACACTCCACGTCCAAATTGGACGGGAGATGCTTCGTCCATGATACCTCTGTCTAACTTCAAGTCTCGGGTCCTGCGATGCCCTTTGCTCCTAGTAGC